TGGCACAGGAGCGGGGCAAGTAGCACGGGCTATGGTGAGCCCGTAGTGGACTTACCTGGCACAGGAGCGGGGCAAGTAGCACGGGCTATGGTGAGCCCGTAGTGGACTTACCTGGCACAGGAGCGGTGCTCCTACACGGCTCGTTTCTGAGCTGTGAAGAAAGTCTGAGGAGCTGGACCCCTTGACGTTGGAAGAGAGAATATGAACCTCACCATAACCAGTAGCTATGAGTAAATGATCCAACAAGCACACAGGCCAATGTGGAAATCAAGGACTAGTAGAAGGAGGGGGAACAGACGTAAAGATCTTGAAGGCGAGTGGCACGACATTGAATGGCTAAGATGAACATGTTGCCGAAGCTATCTTAATACACAAAATTTTAAATGTAAATATGATAGCGGTAACCAGTGACTTGCCTCAAACAACACAATGTTTCAAAGGGCGGGGCTTAAGTAGTGACGCTCGCCCCTGTAAGCACATCTGAGCACATCACATCTGAGTAAACAAAGCACATTACAAAGCACATCTGAGTAAACTACATCAAGGTGAGTACACAGTGCACACATAAAGACGGATACAGTAACAATAATAATGATCTATCTTGAGGTTATCTTGAGATGATTTCGGGGCTTTTTAAGTGTCCCCGCGGCCCGGTCCTCGACCAGGCCTCCACCCCCAGGAAGCCGCCCGTGACAGCTGACTAACACCCAGGTACCTATTTACTGCTAGGTAACAGCAGTATAGTATACATTATATGATATTATATTACCTGTATATGATAATAATAACAACAACAACAAAAGGAAGAAGAAGAAGAATAGTTGCATTAAGAGGTAGAAGGAGTGGAGGAATAGCAAGATAAGAGGTGAGCCAAGATACAAAAGTAATATAGGAGTGAGAGAGAGAGACAGCGAGAGACACCTCCCAGTAACCCGGGCCGCGGGCTGGCCCCGCCCCTCTCCCCCACTCTCCCGACTCTCCTAAAATGAATTATTAATGACCCTCTTCAAGGAGACTTGGCAGTTTACAGGAAAAAACATTTTGATACGTTTGAGGCGGAGCGACTTAGTAAATGGGAAGGGATAGGAGGAGACAGAGGAGGGGGGGGACGGAGATAGGAGAGAGAGAGAGAGAGAGAGAGAGAGAGAGAGAGAGAGAGAGAGAGAGAGAGAGAGAGAGAGAGAGAGAGAGAGAGAGAGGGAAGAGAGAGAGAGGAAGGAGAGAGGGAAGGAGAGAGAAGGAGAGAGAGAGAGAGAGAGAGAGAGAGAGAGAGAGAGAGAGAGAGAGAGAGAGAGAGAGAGAGAGAGAGAGAGAGAGAGAGAGAGAGAGAGAGAGAGAGAGAGAGAGAGAGAGAGAGAGAGACGTCGAAGGAAGATGGGAAGGACAAAAACAGAGATAAAGGGAAAGAGAAGTGTAGGTTGTAAGGAAGACTGGTAAGAAGGACGCACATGAAGGAGGCGGGAAGGATTAGGGAGCGAGAAAGGTAGAATAAGAGAAGAGAGAGAGAGGAAGAGAAACATACAACCACAAAGCTAAGAGATAGAGACGCAGACTGAGAGAATGAAGGCCACATCAAAGCACCAATAACACCCCAACATTCATCAACATACATTTATACTGTCGCTGAAGACATTACTGGCGGGACGTTGAAGACCACCAGGCCCTTTGTAGACCCTTACGGCTATCTTGACGTTATCTTAAGATGATTTCGGGGCTTTAGTGTCCCCGCGGCCCGGTCCTCGACCAGGCCTCCACCCCCAGGAAGCAGCCCGTGACAGCTGACTAACACCCAGGTACCTATTTACAGCTAGGTAACAGGGGCATCAGGGTGAAAGAAACTCTGCCCATCGTTTCTCGCCGACGCCCGGGATCGAACTCGGGACCCCAGGATCACGCATCCAGTGTTCTGTCCGCTCAGCCACCGGCTCCTAAGGTACGGTAGACCGCGTACCTTACTGTTTCAGCGTGCTGGTGTTTACCTAACATACAAATGTCTAACCTACGCTTGAAACAGTCAAGTCATCACACGACTACTATCTTACCCGTACAGTAAGTACAGACACACACACACACAGTTAGTTAGGGGGGACATGATCACCACATTCAAGATTCTCAAGGGAATTGATAGGGTAGATAAAGACAGGCTATTTAACACAAGGGGACACAGGTGGAAACTGAGCGCCCAAATGAGCCACAGAGATATTAGAAAGAACTTTTTCAGTGTCAGAGTGGTTGACAAATGGAATGCATTAGGAAGTGATGTGGTGGAGGCTGACTCCATACACAGTTTCAAGTGTAGATATGATAGAGCCCAATAGGCTCAGGAACCTGTACACCTGTTGATTGACAGTTGAGAGGCGGGACCAAAGAGCCAGAGCTCAACCCATGCAAGCACAATTAGGTGAGTACACCTTCCACATTTCTATACACTTCCACATCCTAGGAAGTGATGTGGTGGAGGCTGACTCCATTCACACTTTCAAATGTAGATATGTTAAGAGTTCGAGCAGCTCAAAAACCTGTACACCAGTAGATTGACGGCTGAGAGGCGGAAACCAAAGAACGGAAGCTCAATCCCCCAAGTACAATTAGGGGAGCACAACTAGGTGAGTAAACACTGAGGTACATTCCCTAACCTCCGGCCAAGTGGACCAAATCGAACACCACATAGACCTTATCTCTCAAAATACTACTATCCTGTTCGAAATTCCGTACACGCATACACGAGCAAAATTTGAAACGCTCCAGAAGCTCCCTTTATTCTCAGGTCCCGACAAATAATACAATAATTAATATGTTAATATGTAAACGTTTGTAGCCACATACTTTATGGCTACAAACTACCAGACTTTATGACTGTGGGGGGGGGGAGGGCATGGTAGCTGAGCGGACAGCGCGTAGGACTCGTAATTCTGTGGCCCGAGTTCGATTCCCGGACCAGGCAGAAACAAATGGGCAGTTTCTTTCACCCTCTGTGTGTGTGTGTGTGTGTGGGTGGGGGGGGGGGGGAATTAGTTAGTAGTTAGTAACAGTTGATTGACAGTTGAGAAGCGGGCCGAAAGAGCCAGAGCTCAACCCCCGCAAGTACAACTAGCTGAATACTTTATCAGTTAAGAAAATTTAGCTAGCCTTACAACTCATGAGATTCAGTCAAAAAATAAAATTCAATAACTATAAAACATGGATAACTGATAAAATGAAGAGTGATGATTCTATACTTGTAACCCCCAGTAAAGGAGGGTGGAAGGGGGCCGGATGAAGGGGTGGGAAGGGGGGTTGGAGGTTGAGGGGGGTGTGGAGGTGGATGGGGGGTGGTAAGAGGGCCTGACTCAATGTAAACAAATTGACTAGTGTTTATGTGGAGGCTGCCCACATTCTTCTGCCTCCCCCCCCCCCCTCATCTCTCACCCCTCCCTCTCTCTCACCCCCCCCCCTTCTCTCCCTCTCTCTCACCCTCCCCCCCTCTCTCTCACCCTCCTCCCTCTCTCTCTCCACCCCCTCCCCATCTCTCGCTCAATATTGTAGCAATATGTATATATTTTATGAATGCTTCACCAGCACGGGTTCGAGTCACTCCAACGCCTCAAAATGGTTCTCACTGATATATCAGGCCACTGTGAGTTCCTCCCGAGCTCTAAATACGTTAATAAAGGGCTGGGAATGTTCACAATTGCAATACTGTGTGGAATGTAGGCCTATACGGTGAATATGTTAGTGCCCTGCGGCTCTAACCTAAGTGAACCACTGTTACAGAAAAGCTCATGCTGCACAATAATAATAATAATAATAATAACAATGATAAATAATAAATAATTCGGTAAGAATAATATCGAATACTGAAATAGATAAGTTTACAATATTATGAAGTATACCAGTGGTAAACCATTCTTAATATTTACTGTATTAATTGAGATTTTAGTTTACAATTTCAATAAACATATTGAGGTCTGTCGTTTCGATGCCATCAGCTGTTTTTTAGACAATTCTTCCTTGAAATGAACACAAATCATGTATAAAACATTTCACGTTTGAATACAGCCGATGGCGTAAATAAATCATACACAGAATGAACAAATCCACAAGGGCCGTGACGAGGATTCGAACCTACCTACCCTGTCGTAGCTCGGACGATTAAGGCAGTGTCTGGGATGCTCCCGGACGCAGGTTCGAATCCTCGTCACGGCCTTTGTGGATTTGTTCATTTGATGCATCACGTTAGTGTGATCTCTGTGTGTCATACACAGAATGATTCATTTTGACTGCATTAACATTTAAGACGTCATCATATGTGGCACACGTATCTTGAGATGATTTCGGGGCTTAGCGTCCCCGCGGCCCGGTCCTCGACCAGGCTTCTTTTTTGTTGCACACCCCCAGGAAGTAGCCCGCAGCAGCTAACTCCCAGGTACCAATTTACTGCTAGGTAACAGAAGGCATCAGGGTGAAAGAAACATTTTGCCCATTTGTGTCTGCCTCCACCGGGGATCGAACCCGGAACCTCAGGACAACGAAGCCGAAGCGCAGTCCACACAGCTGTCAGGCGCCTACACCCTACCTCCAGCTAGTAATCCTTCTGCCTGGTCTCATTGTCAGCTGGCACTGGAGGCAGTGAGAGGTCATTATGGGTGGCAGCGGTGCCATAGAGGGAGGTGACAGCGGTGCCATAGAGGGAGGTGGGAGCGGTAATTGTGGTAATGTGGCGCCATAATAATATTGCTGCCATCAACCTGTTGTTGTTCATCCTCCGCCCCTGTCTCTGACGGCGCCTGTGCTGGCGCGCGCCGCTCACACTAACCATCACGTATCTCATACACCAAAACGCTTCAACCACGCGTACATTTTACACGACATTTTAACACGACGTTTAACAATATATATCCTATTACTATACACTACACAACATTAAGTAACTAAAGGTTTGTATGGGTATTAATGGGTAAAAATGGCAAGATCGTGAGATTTAGCTTACCGTGATGCGCTGGCGGACGAGGGGTCGCCCAGCATCCCTGAGCGCCGGAGGGCAGTCATGCTCTGGTCCTCCGAGTGGCACCATCTCTCCAATATTACCCAATAGAATCTTATACAAAACCATCTGCAATGAAATTTAAGCATGAATGTAAACGAGCGGAAAAATCTTTACAACTATTACTAAATGGTTAGTTTCTAACCAGTTAAAAATGTTTGTGATAGATGAGAGATATTCAACAATCGATTGAAAATATAATCGATATTATTAGTGAAGAAATGTGATTTTTACATAAAAAAAAACTTTCAGAAATTTTGCTACAAATTATCTTTCCACGATTTCCATTGATAAATTAGACATAATTTTTTAAGATAATATAAAAGTGCAAATTGAGTGAAAATAGACATAGATAGCATAAGGCCTATGAAAATAGACATAGGGTATAGCAAAAGGCTTATTCACCCATACGAGGCACCTCATATACAGTATATAAAAAACATGAACGGTAACACTATAATTAGACACATTGGATGGAAAATAAATCAATTATGTACCACATTTGAAGATTCACAGCAAGTGAAAACTAAGGTGTTTGTATACAAGTATTAAGACTGGGCTTTTGGAGGTCAATATGATTGCCAAGGATTGTACTGCTCGGTAATGGTGTCCTTATCTTGTACTGGCGCCTCACTGCCAGTACTGGTACTCGCATACTTACCTAATTGTGCTTAGGGGGAGGTTGAGCTTCGGCTCTTTGGTCCTCTAGGGTCCCTTGTTGTTTCAATTAGCCTAGAACCCAGTTCCTTCAAAAAACTGGTAGCACTTTTACCCCAGGCGCCGAGTGTCTCAGAAGCAACGGGGACAAAATTGTAGTGGTGATCCAGTTCTCTGTATTTACGGGATTTGACTGATTCCCTGTGAGTGGCAGCGCCACCTGGTTGTGCAACACTGAAGTGTTGAGATATATAATAGAAGCACCATGGACAATTCTAGTAGCACTGAGGAAAGTTCCTGTAGCACTGGGGAAAGTTCCTGTAGCACTGGGGAAAGTTCCTGTAGCACTGGGGAAAGTTCCTGTAGCACTCTAATAACACCAGTTGACTGACAGGTGAGAAGCGGAACCAAAGGGCCAAAGCTCAACCCCCCCCCCCCCAAGCAAGCACAACTAGGTGAGTACAAGGCTCGCATCCCGTCTTCTCACGCAATACTTAAAGTATTAAGTCTTAAAGCACCGGAATAAATCTTAAAGCACCGGAATACTGACGCTTTCTATGCCTCAGCCTCGACGGGTTAGGTGGGTTGCTGGGGTTCGTACGTTTCTGGTTAGGCGAGGGAAGGGAACTATCAGGAGAAAGCGCCAAGCCATTACGACTATATAACACTGGGAAGGGGTCAGGATAAGGATTTGGGATGGGACGGAGGGAAGGAATGGTGCCCAACCACTTGGAGGGTCGGGGATTGAACGCCGACCTGCATGCAGCGAAGCCGTCGCTCTACCGTCTTGCCCAAGTAGTTAGGTTAAACAGTTACACTTTTTACGGAGTGAAATTGTGAGCCCAGGCTTTGGAAACACACTATAAACCCAACACAATTTTAATATAATTGATGTGATCTACTAAATTCATAGAGAAAATTTTTAATTTATATAATTTTGTTTATAATTTGATAATATATTGGTTTCTTGTTGTGGGTGCTGGCTTAGATGTGCAGAGAGGAGCCGAGGCGTGTCAGCGCTAACTGACCTAATATAACGTGGCCGCCAAGTGAACCTATGGAACGTGGCTGTCGTTTCACCCAAAAGAACCCTACCCCAATTGACCCCAATGAACGCGGCGGTCAAATGAACGAATAACGCGCAAATCCTACTGAACGCAGAGGACGGTCCCCAAAACTAGTGAGCGACACTGACATCACCAGAACATGTGAACGCCGCCGACAGCTTGAGTGAACGGACAGGAGAGAATGGTGAAGAGGAAAGCTTGTGATGAAGACTGGGAGAGAGAGGAGCTGGCTGTCCCTCTCCCAATACAGACGTTCCTATGGCGCCAGAGCAGGTGAGAGGCAAGGGAGGGGCTGGCACTCCCCCTTACCAACTACACACACACACACACACACTTCCGTAGTGATAGATCAGTCGAGAGAGCGGCCTATAGTGATCAATGTGTACCTTGAGAAAATGTTTGGAGCAGGATGAGGCTGCTCATATAATAGCTCAATAGTCTAAATTAAGTAATATGTGTTGGAATTACAGAGGAGACTGAGACCATGGGGAAAAATAATCATTTTGTAGCTTAGGAAACCTTCAATAAACGTTTCAAAGGTGCCACTAAACCTTCACTAAACGTTTCAAAGGTGCCACTAAACCTTCACTAAACGTTTCAAAGGTGCCACTAAACCCTCACCAAACGTTTCAAAGGTGTCACTAAACCTTCACTAAACGTTTCAAAGGTCCCACTAAACCCTCACTAAACGTTTCAAAGGTGCCACTAAACCTTCACTAAACGTTTCAAAGGTGCCACTAAACCCTCACCAAACGTTTCAAAGGTGTCACTAAACCTTCACTAAACGTTTCAAAGGTGTCACTAAACCTTCACTGTTCAAATCTGGTACTGAACCTCATGTTGACACTCACTCTTGCTTGGACACTAATGTACTAAATCTTATTTCTATACTAATTCTGACAGTAAGTCAGAATTTATTCATTCATTCATATTCTCCCCCCCCACAGTCCATTCATCAGACCCAAGTTGGGTAAGCTGCATGAGGCTACTTGTATGGTAAGTTATCAACAACACTTTTTGTGTATGATTTGTCAGACTTTCTGTATGGTTTGTCAGACTTTGTGTATGATTTGTCAGACTTTGTGTATGATTTGTCAGACTTTGTGCATGATTTGTCAGACGTTGTGTATGATTTGTCAGACTTCTTGTATGATTTGTCAGACTTTTTGTATGATTTGTCAGACTTTTTGTATGATTTGACAGACTTTCTGTATGATTTGACAGACTTTCTATATTTGTCAGACTTTTTGTATGATTTGTCAGACTTTGTGTATGATTTGTAACTTTCTGTGTGATTTGTCAGACTTTGTGTATGATTTGTCAGCCTTTTTTGTGTGAATTGTCAGACTTTCTGTATGATTTGTCAGACTTTTGTGTAAACTCTTTTAGACTTTAATGTGTGCAATATAGACTTTCGTGTATGTTTACAGGATTCAGAATATTACTTTCAGTCATTAGTATGTCATTTACAAACTATCTTATGGTTTAGTAACCTTATTGGGTTCTTTAAACTCTCTGAAATGTCGTAAGTGTCATGATGGAGTGTATAAACTTTCTAAGTGTAATACAAACAATGACAAATTTTTACAAAATCTATAATTTGTCTTTTTTCATACTTTTCGTATATTTTTTAAGTCGATATTAGGCTAGCAACTTTTTAATGCGTTAAAACTGCCTATACACACTTTCCAATACTTTTTTACATTTTACAAATAATTTCACTTTAATTTACCAACCGTATTTACAAAGTCTGCTTTACAACTCTGGATATCCTATAAACTTGTGTAGGCCCTATCATTGTTTCTTTAATTTACAAAAACCGAGTATTCCATGAATATATTATAATGTTCATCCAAATGCTTCATGAATATAAGCATAATACTTTCAAATATATCAAATATACTACAAATGCCTAAAATTATGTTTACTAATTTCCAGGTGTGCTCAAGATATATTACAACAAAATTCAAAAGTTTACAAACAAAAAATTCTTAATATTTTATCAAAACATTACCCCTTTTTTTGTACAAAAGCGCTCAATGAATTACAAAAAATGTACTTAGTGAATTATCTTTCCTCGGCGATTTTTCTCTGAATTATCAGTGAATTAATTTCAAATGTCCAGAAATGAATACAGAAATAATCTGACACTTTGATTGCGAGAATTATTTACTCAAAATGTGGATGATACAATAAAAATAATTAACAATAATTTCAACACTACTACACAATAAAGGAAGAACTTGCACATTTATAAAGCTAGTAATTACCTAAGTGTGTGTGTGTTTGGTGGAGTTGAGATGTGCTTCTTTAGCACCGCCTTTCAACTTTCACTCAACTGGTGTATAGGTTTCCGAGCCTATTGGGCTATATTTATATTTACATTTGTAGCTGTATATGGAGCTACAACTCCATTTCTACCTCATCCCTGGTATAAAGGACCTGAGTTATAAAGCCAGTTTGAAAACCTAAAACGCGCACCTTTGGGATAAACAGACATGCAGACAGGACATAATCACAACATACAAAATACAGTACTTGAAGTAATAAGGTGGGATAAAGGTAGATTGTTAAGAAGAAATGATACTCTGAATATAAGAACGAATTTTGTCGAGATAAGTGTTGTGAGTAGAATAAAATAGAACAGGAAGTAGTAGAAAATTATGAATGAACTCCAATGAGAATTCAACACAAGCCACGAGGTGAAGTCAGCATCACACCGGTCGACTATACGGGTTAGGAACCAGCCAACATTAGTTGTAGGTAGGCTGTAGGTAGGCTGTAGGTAGGCTGTAGGTAGGCTGCAGGTAGGTGCATGTATACCCATGGTTGCAGGAGCAGCCACCTCATTATCACCCCAGCTCCCTAATCCCCCAATCATCCCCTTTCATATCTTCAGCGCCGTTTGCTCTCCCGACTTACTCATTTACTCATTGCCTTCTCTCGAGAGAGCAAGAGCAAGATAGCAGAGAGATAAGAGAGGGAGAGGAGGGGAGATAGGAAAGAAAACGAAAGGCTGAGAGAGAGAGAGAGAGAGAGAGAGAGAGAGAGAGAGAGAGAGAGAGAGAGAGAGAGAGAGAGAGAGAGAGAGAGAGAGAGAGAGAGAGAGAGAGAGAGAGAGAGAGAGACAGAGAGAGAGAGAGAGAGAGAGAGAGAGAGAGAGAGAGAGAGAGAGAGAGAGAGAGAGAGAGAGAGAGAGAGAGAGAGAGAGAGAGAGAGAGAGAGAGAGAGAGAATGAGAGAGAGAGAGAATGAGAGAGAGAGAGAATGAGAGAGAGAGAGAGAGAGAGAGAGAGAGAGAGAGAGAGAGAGAGAGAATGAGAGAGAGAGAGAGAGAGAGAGAGAGAGAGAGAGAGAGAGAGAGAGAGAGAGAGAGAGAGAGAGAGAGAGAGAGAGAGAGAGAGAGAGAGAGAGAATGAGAGAGAGAGAGAATGAGAGAGAGAGAGAGAGAATGAGAGAGAGAGAGAGAGAGAGAGAGAGAGAGAGAGAGAATGAGAGAGAGAGAGAAGAGAGAGAGAGAGAGATGAGAGAGAGAGAGAGAGAGAGAGAGAGAGAGAGAGAGAGAGAGAGAGAGAGAGAGAGAGAGAGAGAGAGAGAGAGAGAGAGAGAGAGAGAGAGAGAGAGAGAGAGAGAGAGAGAGAGAGAGAGAGAGAGAGAGAGAGAGAGAGAGAGAGAGAGAGAGAGAGAGAGAGAGAGAGAGAGAGAGAGAGAGAGAGAGAGAGAGAGAGAGAGAGAGAGAGAATGAGAGAGAGAGAGAGAGAGAGAGAGAGAGAGAGAGAGAGAGAGAGAGAGAGAGAGAGAGAGAGAGAGAGAGAGAGAGAGAGAGAGAGAGAGAGAGAGAGAGAGAGAGAGAGAGAGAGAGAGAGAGATTGAGAGAGAGAGAGAGAGAATGAGAGAGAGAGAGAATGAGAGAGAGAAGAGAGAGAGAGAGAATGAGAGAGAGAGAGAATGAGAGAGAGAGAGAATGAGAGAGAGAGAGAGAGAGAGAGAGAGAGAGAGAGAGAGAGAGAGAGAGAGAGAGAGAGAGAGAGAGAGAGAGAGAGAGAGAGAGAGAGAGAGAGAGAGAGAGAGAGAGAGAGAGAGAGAGAGAGAGAGAGAGAGAGAGCGGACCCTCCCTTATTGATCCTTCACTCTCCCACACTCCCACCTGTTATCTCAGCTGTAGGCAGAGCTAGGCACCCGCCTGAGAGAGGGAGAAGGGCAACAGGAGGAAGAGAGAACAAGAACTAAAACTAAGATAAATAAAGAACAATAAGAAGCGAGACATGCACAAGTATAAAGAAGTGAGGTTTAACATTGAGAACGAAGAGAATAACGGGAGTGAATAAGGGTGAGACTGAGTTACATGACGTGGAGAAGAGATAATAATGAGGCAAGGTGAGGGGTGAAAAGAGAAAGATTAAGACACGGAGGGGTTGAGAGGGACAAATCCCTTGTAATTTATCAGAGAAACATGCAAAGCAGAAGAGAGGAAAAAAAAAATTACAGAAATTCTCAATAAAACTCAGACTAGAGCAGCAATCATGGAAATGGAACGTTATTGCAGGCTAGGGAAGTCTTGGATTGAAAGGAATCGACTATTGAAAGTTATATTTAAGAAGAGTTATCCATTGAAATGCATACTATCAGATTGATTTGTTATTTTTGTTCATTTATTATGCACCTCCATATATCCATCCCAAATTATTGGGAACGCTTACAATTTATAAGTTTGTATTCTCTAGCGTGCAGGCGAGAGATACAAAATTATTTATACTATGAAAATATAAGAGATGGAGTGAGGAAATAATTCCTCATGAGACTAGGAACCAAGAACTCCATTACCCAACCAGAGTGGATGCGGGTTGCACGTGAGACATGTTCATGGGTATGGCGTGCATCTGGGGTTACCCAGGACGTTGGTTTCATCCTGCTGTCCTTCTCCGAGGATCTTTTTAAATTCAAGGAAATACTCATACCCTTTTTCGGGTGATCAACAGATAGAAGATGTAGAAGGCACTTGCATCCTAAGGTGCCAGGATGGACAAAGAAGGCCAGACACGACAAAGAATTCAAAGAAAGTTGAAATAAAATGCAGCAAATACAAGGAGGTTAGTTTGCGAGACAAAAAGAGTTTGACCTCATTTCCCCGTAGTCACTGTTAGTAAACATTCTTAGGTAAGCTGACGAGGAGGAGGAGGAGGAGGAAATTTTAATTAACGCACTTTAATTTTCTATACTGTTGAAGACGGAAGCCACAAACGTCGGCATCCGGTCAACACAAATGTGGGAAATATCAGGATGGGCTGGAGAAGAAGGAAGAGAAGAAGGAAGAGAAGAAGGAAGAAGAAGGAAGAGAAAGAAAATTCAGTTCCTGGGAGGGGGGGAGGAGGGCATGAGAGAGGAAGTAGGGAGAGTTAAAGTGTTAAGAGCTGGTAGTGTAAGGGGGCCCTTCGCCCCCCGGGGGGCTCACAAAGTCATCAGTGCTCGTCTGGGATCTTGCCGACGCTTGCCACGTGAGGCGACGTATGGTCCAGTGTAAGGTTTGCTTGTGCTTTACCTGTGCTCGATTTTTGAGAACTTGTCTGGTCCGGCAGCTCGGCCTGGATGGTGTCCGCCTTGCAGGGTTGGGGAGGCTGCGAGCTTATTATTATTATTCTTATTATACATTTTCCTAATAACATTATTTCAATATTATTATAGAGACAGTCTACGGGTTCACCATAGCCCGTGCTACTTGGAACTTTGTGTTCCAAGTAGCGAATCTTAAACAACAACAACATATTATTATATTCCACCTCATTCCTCATCTCTACCTCTCTCCTACAATTATGTGGCCCTACCCAACCCCTCTCCCTCCCTCCCTCCTTCACCAAAACCCTTTCTTCCTCCCACATATTTAGCCTCCTTCCCTTTCCTTCCCTTCCTCTAATCTCCATCTCACCTCTATCATTCCTTCCACTTTTTACCTTTCCTCCCTCACTCCTCCAACCCTCCCTCACTCGACACATTTGGAGT